CCGTCTTATTCGCAGAAAAAAAGTTGAAATTTGTAGACCAGTGTAATTTGCGATAGTTTATATACAAACTTAAACGGCTAAACTATAATAGTTGTTATATTGATATAAGCACTTTTTAACAAGCAATTTTGTATTGCATATTGCGTCCTTTTAATTTACCCTCTTAAATAGGCTTTTATTTTAAGAGAAAAAACTATTTTTCACAGAAAATGATGATCTCTATTAGCATTTTATTAAAAATAATTGGACATACTCATAGATAAAATAAAATCTATTCTAAGCAGCTTTTTTGACAGAATTTCCGTTGAAAACTATGTCAAAAAGTTATAACTAGCCTTAGAGTCGATTTCATTTCGACTATGAATATCCCCAATAATGGTAAAATAAGCGGTATGTATCGGTTGAGTGTCTGGGGAGGCAAAGGGGGGCAAAAAAGAAAGCGCAGTAAACTACTACTTCGCGGTGGTGCTTTTTAGTTGTCCTCAATGCTTTCGAACAGCTGTTTGGTGTGTTGTCTCGGGCGCCCCTTTGCTGTGACATTCGCTCTTCTATGTAAGCTGTTATTGTGCTTTTGTATCGCAGAGCTTTCCATATGTGAACCGAGTCAGTTGGCGTCCAAACATTTTCGTCCAGATCGCATTCAGAATAGAAAATTTATTGTAGTATAGAAGTGTATACGCAATAAGCAAGTGATAGTATTGGCAGTGGTGCAGAAGGCACAGAAAAATTATTTCTACATTTAACTTCTTGTTTGGCTGTGAAATAAATTCCAAAAAATGGATCCAATGAAAGTCGAAGTTAAACATATTGATGAACTCTTCAGATTAGATGGATATTTGAAGCCATTCGAACGGGAAGTAAGACGCAGGTGAGTAGTGGAACTATGCCGATTAGGCTGCTGAAATAAAAAAATTGTAAAAGCGAGTGCATTACTGCGACGCTGCTGCAAGCCGATGCGCGCTGATATGGCGTTCCTATTGTCAAAGTTCTTGGCCGGCACTGATAAGTGTATCTACGTTGTTTCAAAGCTGTCCAAAGTGGTTAAATTTATTTGCGTAAATTTTGTTTATTGGTACGCAGACTTAGCAGTCTTTTTTACGCTGTGATGCAAACAAATTGTGCGCATAGTTTTCAAAGTCAATTGAAGGTTAAAGTGCTGAGCGCAGAGCACCGGCATTTTAGCCTCGCCACCCTTTGACATTTGTGTGCGTATGTATGGGTTGTGATTATAAACAAAAGGTGTTATCAAAGTAAATTTTTGTAGCGAATGCAATGCTAAAAGCAAATGATGTTAATGTAAAACCTAACTAAAAATTAAAAAAGAAAATGAATATAAGAATTTATTTTAGTTTAAAATTTAATGTGTACATTGCTGCAACTTTTCTTATTAAATTATTATACTAGGTATTCTTGCATTTTTGTCTGATTAATCGCGAATTTATTTTTACATACAATCGAACCGGCAATACGTCAGAGATTTAGCCAAATGTATTGCCAAGGTTGATAGCGTCACTTACGTGCATCAGCTGCTGCCACACGCCACATGCCAACGCAATTAATCCCAGCATCGTATGGGATAAAAAATGTTCATATCGCACATTTGCTGCAAGAGAGCCATCATAAAAAAATATAAAAATAAAAATAATTGAGTTAGATTCAGAAATGACGGCTACCTGTTCTTCTATGTTGTATAAAGATTTCTAAACATTAAGGATTCCCAGTAGTTTACTAAAACAAAATTTATATTGATTTTTACTATATGAGTATAAGTATGTAAATTCACAACTTAAAAGCCGTTCTTCTTGAGTTGATTTTTTGGATTATGACACTTTGCAGCTACAAGTCAAGATTCAAATCGCCAATAAATAGCTTCTATAATGTGTGGTGGTATGGGGGCAAAAACTTGTACTTAGGTATAACAAAAAAAATAAAACATATGTGAAAAAAATACTTAAATACAGAATGGTATTGTGCGTCTCTTGAATTAAAAAATATATACTTTACTTGTACACATAATGGGCCGTATGAATAAAAGCTGCTTTCTCTCAAAATTTCATTCCTTTTACTACGGCCCAATGAGGCCTTTTTACTGAGATTTAAATTGATTTATAATTAATATGCGGTAGTTTGACTCGTTTCGACTATTTTTATTCTTTTTTTTATTAAGAGTTTTTAATAAAAGTCTAGCTCGTTATGTAACAAACACCTTATAAATCCACATATCTATCAAACTTTGTACAAATAGTAAAATTCATAAAATTTTTACTAAAATTTAAATTTATAATTAACATTTTTAGAAAGTTATAGTCCATTAATTCGCATTGACTTTTAATCTTTTTTGTTGACGGTTCTACGTTTTTCCTGCCACATGAATTGTACACTCGTACACGTACTCGAAGCTATATCATGTCCATCGTGAAATTATACCAGGTGAAGTAAACCAGAAGAAAGATTTAACACTATCTTATTTGAAAATTTGCCTTTAAAATTGCTTTAAGGTAGCCGAATGCGAAAAAGCTGTTAATTACATCACCTGGGGTCTAATCGTAACATTCATTCACGGATCGAAAACCATACGTATAAGCCAAAAGAGATAAAGAGTACGTTCACGTATGTCATAATCCGAAACATGATTTTTTATGTGACGAGTAATACGATATCGTAAGTGACGATTCGAGCCCTGTTTATAATTTCGCCATGCATCATATGTTACAAAAGTGCATATCAAAAAAATTTATAAAAATTTTGGATTAAAAATTTTGAAAATTTATTTTTGCTCGATATTTATGGCCTTTTTTAATACTTTTATTGAACTTGAGGCCGTTTTTTTT